CCGATAAGTGAAGGAGTATTAGTCGTTCGCATGTGTCGAAATATTGCATGGTCAACGGCGTCTACTGTAGGATAATCGTTGACCTGAAGTAGGGCATACAGGTACTTCATCTTCTCCCTGCTTCTACTTTCATCACTGCAGTGTGTCTGAACACGTTGAAAGAGGGTTCTAACACAACTGCGTTTTTGGCAACTGGGTGATTAATTCCGAATTGGAGGATGCACATAATATTGGTTACCTGGCGGTAGACCGTTGTCCTTATATTTCCGTCTTCGAGCTTCGATATTTGTACGTCAAGGGAGGGCAATTTATTGTTGACCTCCTCTTCCATGCTGAACTGGATGTCAGGAAAGATGGAATTCAACAGTACCTTCAAAGCCTGTACATTGCTCTTTTTGATGATAACGAAAGTGTCGTCGACGTATTTGGCCCAGAATGTCGGGGGAGACGAGCTGAATACCAGCCGCTCGAACCTCTGCAAAGCAGCTTCGGCAATAAGGCCAGAGAGAGGCGAGCCCATTGGTGTCCCTTTCTTTTATTCGTAAACTTGGCCATGAATAGTGAAGAAAGTTTTTAGACGCAATTCTAGGAGGTATATTATATGCACCCGCCTGAGCTTTTGGTCGTTTTTATCATATTTCTCTTGGAGAAGGCTGTCAACAGTCTCGATGGCTAGATGCGGTGGAATAGAAGTGAACAATGAAATCACGTCAAATGACACCATCATCTCGTCTGCCTCCACTTTCAAGTGTTGGATGTGGGTCAAAAACTGTTTAGCAGACTTCATTGTCCACTCGGAACCTTTGGTACTGAAGCAGAATCGCTAATAAAGCTACCTTGACAACCTAAAGGTTGGGGTACCACGTAGAGATACGAAGAATCGTAAGGGCACTCCTGCTTTGTGCTCCTTTGGTAAGCCGTAGGAACGTGCCACTGCAGCATCGGCGGCCTTTGTAGCCAGCGCTTCGCTTCCTTTTAGAGCTTCTGTCTTTCTTAACCTATCGATCGTCTTACTAACGGCGCTTTCGAACTTCTTGAACTCGCTGACGGTCGATGGCACATATGGATCCATGTCCATCAGTAGATGTTCTACCTTTTCAGAATAATCGAGCTTATCCATGACGACAGTTAAGCGCCCTTTGTCGGCGGGCAGGGTCACGATGTGTTTCACTTTCTGTATTCGTAGAAGTTCACGAGCTTCTGACTCGGAAATCGTCACCTGGCTTCTGGACTGGAAGAGTAAAGACGACATCTGTTGCCTCATTATATTTTTGCGCTTCTCTTCTGCCTCACATTTCTGAAGCGCAGACTCGAAGGATGCAATATAGTCTTCTGCTCGAGCATCCCTTGTACTGAACTTTGCGTCATAGGAAAGGACAGCTGATTGGATGAGACGATGTGGCGAAAAGTTGTGAACCAGGTCTCCGTCAGAGGTGGGTTGGTTTGGTGGACATATTTTTGGAAATTTCTCCAGTAGATGGGTATCGCGCAGATTCCGGTGATACAGAACACTTCTGAGGATTACAGTTTCCAGGATTGAGAACTCATGCGCCCTTAGGATTGTCCAGCAAGCTGCCAAGAAATCTTCCACTTTCTAGTGGTGTTTGTGAATGCGTCTATGACAAGCTTGTAGAACCATCTCTGACCATTGGGTTTTTAAAGTTTTCCATGATATCTTTGCATAGGTCGGTATGAACAGGTGGTCTATATTTCAGGCATTTAGGTTAGACATTTTCCTCGATGCAGTGGTGCAGGAACTTCAGCTGAGCTTAAGTAGATGACTCTCGCTTCGCAAATTTCTCTCATCTGCGTGCTGAGCGGAGGACTTCTCGCCCATATCATAATCCAATATGCCTGAAGATTCAAGGTCCAGCTATCACATCGCTTTCACCATCCCTGAAAGAAGAGGAAAATAAGGTACGACGAAATGGACCAATTTATTTTGAGACTGACATTTCGGATACTTTCGGCTCCATCGTCAGAGTAACTGGGTGATTGCTCCTGTCCGCCGGGACTGTTGCAGCCTTGCCGCGTGCCTTTTATTATATCCGCGCTCGACGCACAGCTTTTGACCTGCCTGATTGCTCGTATGATCACTGATCACTTTCTCGGCTGTCGCAAGTCAGCGTGCTGGCTGCCGTGATCCTCATCGCCTGACGAAGTAATCAGTTGGTTCCTGCCCACCTACTATTGTATATATTCCCGACCGACACCGATGATGCGATGAGTGTATGACTTCTAAAGTACAGGGTTGCGGGTTCGAATCTTGGAGTTCGACAATCCTAGGATCGTGTATGGCAGACTGACAACAACTAATAAACCACAAATCGTCATTTCAATGTCCTTTACCATTCTCTGTTATATACTTCTGCCTATAGATTATATCAGTCAATTAGGTGGCTTTCTCTGAGCGCTCGAACGTATGCTTTGCTATAAATCTGTCTGCAATTCTCTTCTCTAGGAACTGATCCATAATTCTTTACGACGCCGTCTGCTGAATACCTCTATCTAGCTCCTTGAACTAAACGGATCGCAGATACTTTTTTTCTGAAAAGGTTATGAAACTGCCAAGTCTCCGCAACCCTGTCTCGTTTAAACGTTTCCCCTATTCCACACGCAAATGTCGCTTAAAGACAACATTTACTCAGTTTTTTTCCTAATTATGCGGCCTTTTACTCCACAACGAGAAGATGGTATTAATAGGATGTAAGCTTTCGGCGTCTAAAAAGATACAGTCTATACCAGTTTGGTTTATTATTGTATAGGTAGGAGAAGAAAGCCTATGCGCATGACAAAAACCGTCTATACAGCCATATGTTCGACGTTATTTTATTGTGCTTTATGTTATTCAAATGCTTTTAGTTTACCCGAAGGTTGCTTCCTGGCTATTTTCGTTAATATTAATCTGGATCCTGTTGCAAAATAAATTTGGCGATAGTTTACTGATTTTTTTCATTTAATCTTAGACACCTTTTGTCACTTGTCCGCACTAATACACCTGGCTAAGCACTGTCATTATAACAATGACGACGTAAGATTGTTGGTATCTAAGAGGACTTGCAAAACGAACCTAAATTCACAAAAAAAACTTGCTAAGAGCTCTTCGTACATTTTCTAGAGATAATTTCACAACACTTTACATTTAGTGAAAATTTAGTATTTGCTAGAAGTCATCGAGTGTATAGCAGCCACCTGCGCATTGTCAAAGTAACCATTCAGGGTATATTATCTGGCGCATGGACTTCGACTTTTGTGGTTTACTTACGCTATGGATGCCTGACACCACATAATTATTTGTTGATTTGTAGCTTACGCGGAAGGCAAAACCACTTTGCAAGGTTAGTAGTCGGCTTAAATAGTAATTATCTTCGCCCAGCCATTAAACCTAATACATTTGAATTACTCACAGCAGGAAATGCAAACCAATAACTTAGCTTATATTGCCAGTTGGCTATCTGAGAGCTCTAACGCAATAAGAACATATCCTTCTCTTACCTACTTTGAAATTGAATAACTATGGGTAACAGCAAGTGAGATTGCTTCTTACGCAAACAATTACCTTATTTGTTATCATGTCCAGAAGACAAAAAATCCTAAATTAGCCCGTATGACATCTGTAAACTGAAGATTCATCAAATTTTCGAATTACTAGAGAGGTTATAAGCTTTCTGATGAAATATACTTAATCCTGAAGTTGAGAGTTATTCTCCCATTTACCAAGAACGTTTCTTTGCTCCCTTTTGCTAAGGACACACAGTAATGCTTAGGCGTGACCTGACGAAATACAAATTATACAACTGGGTGCGCAGCTCCTCTCCAGAATTACCGCAAAGAGTAGCATATACTAAAACATTTTTTTCTATTGGAAATCTCACTACCAACTGAAGCACCTCCGTGGTTAACATTGTTATCTTATCAGTCCTTATTTATTGAGTTGTAATGTATTCAAAAGGCATTGGCACCGCCCGTTTTCGAGATTGTGTAATATATGCGCAAACATTTGACGTCCAGATATAATATTCCTTGCATAGTTCCTCGTCGAGGAAGAAGAAGGGTAATTTCTGGGACCAAGTTGCATTTTAGCTGACGTTTCAAAAGCCTTCTGGCTTCCATCATCAGAATGTGATGACTGATCTCCTGCTAATGTCAGTAAGTGTGTTCAACCGATAGCCTGATGACTGATACCCACGAGTCAGTCGATTGCACCTATAGAATTTTGGTGGCCAGGGTGATAGGCCGAGCCAATGACGAGATGGCGAGATTCCTGC